ACACACACACACACACACACACACATTATATATATATATATATATATATATAATGATTAATTCTGGTTAGTGTTGATAAAGTAGGTTACAACGGTAGGATCTTATTATTTAATTGACATCATGGGGACATGTTTTTTTTATTTTTGGAAAGCATGTTTTTCCTCGCGGAATGTCGGTTACATCTGGGGTTGAAGGGGAGCGGGGAAAGAAGTTGCGGTTTGTTTTATGAAAGATGTCAGAGATTGAATGCCAAGATTGCGATGAGGTGGATTATTTCGGACAAACCAGTGATATGAAACGTATTCAACAATACAGATAATACATTTCTTGTATCAATTTTTACATGTTGAAGAAATTACTTTCGTGTGCAAAATCTTAATTTCAATGCAGATTTATTGGGATAATGAACTACAATAACCGTAAACATATAATGGTCGACAAATGTTCAAGAAAATATTGTAATAACACATTGTTAGTAGGCGTATTACGAAGGTCTGGAACATCCAGTTTGAATTTAAATTTTAACTGAGTTTCAATTGAGAGTTATTTTACATCGTTTGTTTTGTGATATTGAAAATAGTGTCGAAGCTCATGATTCAAGATGGGTTGAGACGAATTAAACATATTATTTTCACAGTTTGATCTTTGTTTTGATTTGATTTTTGTCATTTCTTTCCAACATTTGCATCTAGAAACTGCAGAATAATATTTTTGTTCAATTTGAATGCAAACGTTGACTTTGTCATTGTAAGACATAGACAATGAGACAAACACGTTTCTTTAATCACTTAATTTAAATATCGTGGACGATAAAAATAGTTTCTGAACCTTGTCGATCACAAAACAGTATTGTTTTTACATATATATTGTACATCTAGAGGATAAGTCTTCACAACCTTTCCTCGATGAAAATTGTCTATTGGGGCCCTTTCACCTACCATATATGTATATGATGGAGGAAAAGTAACAGAAACTGAGCGATAACTGGTCGTAATTATGTGCAACTCCATTTTTTCCACGTGAAGTGTTGATAAGAATCCCAGATAGATGAATCATTCATTGTTTTGGAATTGCCAAACACAAAACTTTTGATTATGATTACTTGTCATTTCTTTCGAATGTACCTCCATCATGGCAATGACTCCTAGTCTTGCCTCTCAGTTAAAATGATTCAGTTTATATTTAGCTATTAACTACTATCAAACTTCGTTATTTATTCATTATTTATGTTTGTACACTTAGTACAGTCTTGCTGCCAACCTATCTCCGAAACTGACTGTAAAACTTTCATAGTATGATATTGTTCAAACCTATATGTTGTTTTGTTAATAATTCCAATACTGTCAATTCACCTCTCTAATTTTTCGGACATGACATATCTTCAATATTCATTAGGCAATTAATACGAATCGTATGTTGACTGACAATAAATAAAAACTGGAAATAGGAAATTCAGAAAGTGCCCAAATTATATATTTTCAGATTTTTCGTGGAAACCTCTGAATGTTGTTATGCGAATGACTTGGGAAAAGTTGGCAGTATGAGAAATGTTTCCTTGTAGTTTAAAATGGCCCCAAAGAGAGTAGAAACGTGTATGTTTCTTCGGCAATCAGTTCCTTTGGACGCTGAAGGTGCCTAGTGGGTGAGTGTGACACTTTCGTCGTTTCCCATTTCCAGCCTCCATTTCATTTGAACGTTGGAGAGGTTCTTGCGTGAACTAACGAGCCGCTCTCCTCTTGCAGGTGTACAAGACGTACCCGCCCATGTAGCCCTTGGCTGCTGCCAGGCGTCGCGGGCCCCGCGCCCGAGGCTGCGCCCCGCCGCAGCGCATCGCGAGCCGCAGGGCTGCAGCCGGGGGGCGGCGGTGGCGGCGGCGGCGAGGCCCCCAGGCTCCGCCGCCACCCGCCACCGCCGGCCGACAACTAGCGATGCCACTTCTCGTCGCCCTCGGTTATTAAGAAGACTGCCTCGTTGAACTTTTGTATCACTCGTCATCATCCGTCCTCATTGAACTCGGCCAGTAGTGTGAACTGTGCCCGCTGACGGCTAGATGAGTTGGGTGGCCGTCGTCATATTGTGTTGTATCAACATGTCTCCTCATACACCCTGCAGACAATCATTTCGCATGCGTGCGAGTGCCTCGGGTGTTTCTTTGCTTTGCTTCGGCAAATGTACGCGTCGTTTGCCTTATACCGCAAGTTACTTGACGAGAAGCGCTTCTCTGGCAAAAAGTCAACGGGAGGCTCTCCCACCCGAGCAGTGCATCGCCCCGGCCGTCGCCAGCAGGAGTCGCTTTCACGCACGCGCTCCGGCCCCTGTCGCGATGTTCAGCGTCCAGAAAAGGTGCGAGTGTCAACGGCGCAGTGTGCGGTGCTGGCTGTGGGGAAACCGTATATGCGCCGCGGCGGCGGCGGCGGCGGCGGCGGGTGGAGCGGGGCCGACCTCCTGCTGCCAAGACCGCCGCGCCGGCGACCCGCAGCCAGCCAGCTCCGCCACCGTGCCATGCTGCCGCCGCCGCAGCCGCAGCCGCAGCCGCCGCCGAGCGGAGTGGACTGGGTCGAGGCCGGGCGGCCCCAAGGCTCGTTCGGTGCAAGCGAACTGGATCGACACCGCCGCCGGCGGCGGCGGCTGCGGGACATTTCCCGGGTTGAGGGATGGCAGCGGTTTTTAACGCGGCTTGCGCACTGGGGAGAGACATTTTCAAATCGTGTACTTTCCGTAAATGTGTTAAAATACCCGATTTTCTCCTTTTTTCTGGACAGTCTGAAAAATTGTTATACAACAATTGGGGATGAGAATCTCCAACCCAATTGACATCTTCAGCATAAAATCAATTGTATTTATTAATTGTATCATTAAAGTTATAATTTAGTTATCCTTGTAGTATCTTTTATTTATTTACTAGTAAAATATGTCATGTGTAAATATAAAAGAGTAATGGAAAAAGGGGTAAATGTAATTGCCAACGATTTTTAAAGTACGCTGTACCACATTGCAATGTATTGGAATCCAGTATCAAAATGTGCCATTGTCTTCTAAAATACATTGTTCTACTGATATTCCGGTTTTTATTCAAGTGTGCGCAGAACGTGAGAAGAAAAGATAGATATTCCTTACGTTAGGCTTAAACTATGTAATGTAGTGAACCACCAATACTACCAATACCACAGAAATACACTGAGGCTGAAAGCTTCAGATTTGAAATTGGTGTGAGTCAAGAGATATTCGCTATGCGTACATTAAATAGTCCTGTGTAACTTAATTGTACCCCTAACTTCAAATAGATTATATCGAAAACCTCTCAATTAAAAAACAGTTACTTGTTTCGATGCATTACAGAGTGTTGAGACGAATTCTTAATATACCCATATATTAACAATAAAGACCGATATTTTGAAAAGCAAGAAACAAAAACAAAACATAATTATACATCTCAACCCTTTCCAGACGGTTCAATACTTTTTTTACACATATGTTTTTAATATCTTTATATTCCAGGGGAAATCAAATAGTATTTTGGAGGGTGAGGGTAAGGGGGGACTAATTCAGTCTGGACGCCTCATAAAGAATTTTGGAGTGCTTTTTTTTAAGTTAGCTTGAAAAAATCAGTATGTGATTATTCATAACGACAATCCAGTTTTGGAGGGGTTGAGATCTATATATTGTAATTATTTTGAATAAATTTAGTAAAATTACGAGAAAAGTTTGCTGAGGGGGGGATGAGGGGGGTGCATGACCTAAACGACCCCCTCCCATTTAGATTCGCTACTCTTATATTATAAATATTAAACGTTCGGTGATCCTCTGAGTAATTCCAATTTCGATAAGAAAATTAGGAAATGGTTGATATCTGACATTCTTAATTTCTTGCCGTATAT